TAGTCGATATGCCAGACACAGTAACAACAAAGTCTCCAATGGAGACGTTACTGGGCCCGCTCGAGCAAATCGACGATCAACGGGAGGGCCTTTACCTTTTACCTTTACCTTATATCTATATGCCAGACACAGTAACAACAAAGTCTCCAATGGAGACGTTACTGGGCCCGCTCGAGCAAATCGACGATCAACGGGAGGGCCTTTACCTTTACCTTTACCTTATATATCTATAAATAAGAGACAACAGTTCTGAAACCAACACCAAGACTAGGGTCTTACCAATCGCTCCTGACTCCATTTGTGTTTTCCTCTTTCCCACCCTGCCTTCTTCAGAGACGCGGCATTACCTGAACACTGTGGTTACCAGTTAAGAAAAATAATCTCCTTGAAAAGTTTTATTCTTGTATAGCAATCTGTATGCAAATGAGTGCAGTTGAGTTTGTCTTCATTTGACTGGAATCTTGCTTCATTTCTGAATTTTATAAGAAGTGGACCGTATTGTGCATATGTAAGTTCTGCAGAACTTGATTATCATGTGACATGATGCTATTTACATTCATCCATGTGGAAGAGCGTGGCTGGAAAGCTTTGGTTTTCATACTATGGAACATTCCATTTCATAAATACACTATGGTTTGGGGGCTCCTCCATAGTCTTCAAGGATCCTGGAGTCGCTCCTGGTGATACTCAGTCCAGCCTTGCAGGCCTGAAGTGCTTGGGGTCACTGGGGCTCCACCCAGCAATACTCAGGAGACCGTGTGATGTGGAGGGTGGTATGGCCACACATATGCACCAGCCCTTTGAGTTCTTCTTGGTCCCACCATTCTGAAGTTTTGTTGTTGTTATTGTTTTGCTTTTGTGGGTCACACCTGGCGATGCACAGGGGTTACTCCTGGCTCTGCACTCAGGAGTTATTCCTGGCGGTGCTCAGGGGACCATATGGGATGCTGGGAATCGAACCTGGGTCGGCCGCATGCAAAGCAAACGCCCTACCCACTGTGCTATCTCTCAAGCTCCCACCATTCTGAAGTTTTAAGGCATTTTCCTTTCAGTGGATATTTAGATTATTTCCTTTCCTTTTCTTCTTTCTTTCTTTCTTTCTTTCTTTCTTTCTTTCTTTCTTTCTCTCTCTTTCTTTCGTTCTTTCTTTCTTTCTTCTTTTTTTTTGGACAAGCATAACTATAGTGGATTTTGTGGGGAGGGGTTCTTTTTTCTTTCTACGTTTCTCGTTATACGTGTACTAAGGTTTGCTATGGTTCCATACTTAGAGAAATTGGGTGTACACCAAATAGATGTGCTGGGTATGCAAGCATTCAGCTTTGCAAGATAATGCCAACTGGGTGTCCAATTTCCCCACCAGTGCTGCGTATGAGATCTGCTGATACCTGACTTTTGGTATTGTCAAGCTGCTCAGATTTGTCAATCAAATGGGTGTAAATTGGCATTTCATGATGATGAAATGTGAACCTCCCCTTCCTGATTAGTGGTGAGGTAAGCATCTCTTTATAGGCTTATTAATCATATTGTTTGTTGCTCTCAAAAACGCTTCTTTTTGGGTTTTGGCCAATTTTTTCAACAGTGGCCACATCAGTGGTGTTTGGGGCCCCACAGCCCCCTGCTGGCAATGCTGATGCTCAGGCAGCTATACTGTACTTGGGGACCACCAGAGCAATACCGGTAATGCTAGGGATTGGGACCATTAGGTGCCAAGGGTCAAACTCAGGGCCTTGCACATGCTTGGCAGGTGTTCTACCACTTCAGCTGTTTCCCCACTCCCCTATTTTTTTGTTTTTGTTTTTTGGAGGAGGGCCAAATCCAGTGGTGCTCAGGGCTTACTCTACACACCCTACCTGCCGTACTATTTCTTCAGTCCCCACCCCAACCTCATTTTTATAGTGAGTTGAGATTTTTCTTATTTATAGGCGTGCTTTCCATATTTTTGAAATAAAGTTTGGTTGGCCATATGCATTTCAAGTACTTTCTTCAAGTTTTCAACTTGCAACTTTATTTTCGCTGGATATTCTTTTGACAACAGAACCACATTTACCTCTACTTCACTTTATAACTAACAATGTTTGTATTTTTGTCTTGTTTTGTTTTGGGATTACACCTGGCCATGCTCGGGGGTTACTCCTGACTCAGGAATTACTCCTGGTGGTGCTCTGGGGACCATTTGGGATTCCAGGGATTGAACGTGGGTCAGCCACATGCAAGACAAATGCCCCATCCATCTGCTGTAATATCGTTCAGCCTCAATGTTTGTGGTTTGATTAAGAAAACTATTTTTGGTGCCAGAGAGATAAGTACAGGGCTTAAGGTCTCGCATGCAACTGACCCCGGTTCAATTCCTGGGCACTAGCCAAGATTGATCCCAGAACAGAGTCAGGAATAAATGCCTTAGTAATTCCAGGTATGATCCCAAAACAAAAATAAGCAAAAAAACAAAAAAAAAAAAGAAGGAAAGAAAAAAAGAAACATCTTCCTGTTCCAAGGTCATGACAATACTTATTAAGAAATCTTGCAAAGTTTGCTTTAACGTTTGTTTGCTTAACCCAGTTGTTATTCTTTTGATGATTATCAATTATTTGCATGCAAAAGCTGCCTTTTGGAGGGAAGAGAGAATTGGGGAATGGGGGGGACAGAGATACACCCTGCATGCTCAGGCTTTACTCCTGATTTTGCATTCAGAGATTACTGGATTCAGGGAACCATATGAGGTGCTATCTTTCTCTCCAGTCGTGGAGGAAAAAATGAGTAGATACTTAGCTCTAGCCAACTTGAAAGCCCATGGTGTGAATTTCTCTCCATGTTATTCCATGGAAACATGATTGTGACATTCTATTATCAGTGATAAAGTGCTGGACACAGGGTGAGTCCAGTTTCTACCCCCAGCCTGATAGCTGGGGCTAGTTGCTCAGCTGGGAATTTCATTTCAAACAATTGCTTCACTTTCAAGATTCACAGTAAACACAATTGGCTCATCCTTTTGCCTTGGAAGTTCCACAGGACTGTTCACAGTGTCTGGCTTCCCCTTCTTTGGGGGAGATTCTGGGGGCTCCCAAGCAGTGCGCAGTGGGAACGAGGGGCCGCCCTCAGGGATTCTTGGCCAATGAGGTCCAACAATTCAGAGCTTGAGCCCAGCACTGCCACCTTGGGTGGTGCTTGGGGAAGCCCTTGAGTGTCAGGGTGCAGTTCAGGGCCTATGTCTGCTCCAGGTCTTTGAGAACCTTCCCATTCAGGGTTTCTGCTCCATTTCCTGTTCCCATCATCCTCTAGTGGTTAAAATGATTCTGTGAGGGGCTGGGAAGATAGTACAGAAGGTAGGGCATTTGCCTTGCACACTGCAAACTAGGGTTGAATCCCCAGCAACCCATATGGTCCCCCAAGTCCCACCAGGAGTGATTCCTGAGCACAGAGCCAGGAGTAAGCCCTTGGCACCACAAGGTATGTTCTACAAATAATAATAATAATAATAATAAAAATAATAATAATTATGAAATAAAGTGATTATTGAATAAGTAATTTAATCACTTATTGAATTAGATAAAGTGGTCCGGTGAGAAAAAGTGTGGACTTAGAGCAAACAGATCTGATTTGGGGCTCAGAGCCTTAGAGAAAGGAAAACTTTTCTGGACCTTTGCTCCTTCCCTCTGCGTCTCCATTTAGAATTCAAACCCTGGCAGAGACTTGGAGTAGAGAAGCACCAGACAGCCCCTCCACCCTCGCCCCCGCCATCCTCTCCCCCCAGGACCATCTGCAGGATAGAAAGGTGATCCCCTGAGAACCTGACAACAATGACATATGTCCCCTACAGCCTCCAAGGGGCTTGACCTGCCCTGTCCTTTTCCCTTCTCCTTTGTTCTGAGAAACTTGTCACTCTGGCCGGCCTCCTGACTCCTGCTCCTTGCAGAGGCTTCACACTGTCTACACAGCAGAGTCCCCCCTCCAGGACCCCAATGACAGAGCGAGCCATAGACTCCCAGGGGCTGCAGGCAGGGGGGCGGCAGAGCCAGCCTTTTGGTCTTGTCTAAATTGGGTTTCCCAGTGAAAACAAAAACAAAAACCAAAGCCATGAAAGCAAGAAGGGGGAAAAAGATCTGCCCGCGCAACACTCCCAGGGGCCCGGAGCTGGGGCCAAGACACTTGGATGTGGCGGCTGATTCCCATGAAGTCCCACCCGGGTCACCTGCACCTGCTGCCGGGCCCAGTGGTGAGCCTCTGACCTGTTGGCAGTGAGAGTGCTCTTGTTTCCTACTCCAAAAGGAGTAGGAGGTAGCAGCCAACAGCCCCCCAAATCCCCAGCACCACCAGTGTATCTGGGGTCACTCCAATCTCCTAATTAACCCATAAGTGACGTGGTCCAGGCATATCCATCATGCGGCTCACCGAGGACACCCTGCTGAGCTGGAGCCATCTTCCTGGCAATGCTGGGCGGGTGCTGTCCTGTGTGCCATTTATAGGCCCCTGGGGTCATCCTTATACCCAAAGGGATGTGAAGGAAGAGGCCAACTCCAGCCATTTCTATGCTGAGGTCTGAGGGCATATGGAGTATTATCTGTGCTCCCAAGACAGAACTGAAGGCCAGTGAGACATACAAAAAGAGAGAGGGCTGGAGAGAGACAGAAAGTTTAGTTTGGCTCAACTAATCCTGAAACTCCAAATGTTGGGAGGAGACAATTCCCGTGGTCAACCTTCATCAACAGATCAAGGAAGCCACAGAGGACAACCCCGGTGGGTGGCGGGCGGGGGGGGGGGGGGGGAAGCATAGTTGGGGGGGCAGAGATGGGCAACAGGAGCCAAAAGCAAACCCAGTTCAATCTTTATTACTGAACAACTTCAATCTGAGTGTGTTCAAATGCTTGTCTGAATCTACGTGAATCTCTATTTCACACAGAGACTCTTGGACTTGGCAAGAAGCTCCATCCTAAGGGTTTGGATGCCACCTCTACAGTGTTGGGCTGGGAGCTTTAGCACATGCCTGGCTGTGGTCCTCTGTCCCCTCAAGGGTTTGGACGGTGACTCCCTGGCGGGATGGCAGGAGTGATGAGGAGATCGAGGTGGGTGATGACAATGGCAACGATGATGACAATGATAATGGCAATGACAATGCAAATGATGACAATGAAAATAAAGATGGTGATGATGATATTGTTGGCAATAATAACGATGATGGTGGTGGCGGTGGTCATGATGTTGACAATAATGAAAATGGTGGTGGTGATGATGATGATCTCAGTGAGGATGACAGTGGCAACGATGAGGTCAGCCCAAGGAGATTAAGAGTCGAATTCAATATTTGAAATCATAAAATGTGTCTGGGCAGGGATGACTGACAGGTTGAGAGTGTTCCATTTGCCCTGTCCTAAAAGAAGGACCCTGACTTCGGACTCAGGTTGCAGTTACATCAGGAGTCGGCCTCAGGGGATCAGCCCATAAGGGAATTTATTGATCATCCCAGTTTGTAGCTCACTCCAGCTAAAAACATGCTTTCTGACTCTCTGTTCCTAGAAACACTGCTTTCTGTGACCATGCACACCACATTGCTTTGGGGGACCCGGGTTCACCCTCTCGCATCCTGCCAGCTGGTTGCCAAGCAAGCTCTTTCTCGATCTGCCTCTGTGTGTCTGTCCTCACTGGCCTCAGCAGCAGTGGAACTGGACCCTAACAGGCACAACAATGATGCCAGCAGCCGAAAGACAAGCCCATTGGCTGGATGCTCACTCTAGGTCAGTCACAGTGCTTGTCCTTAGTCATCTTCTAACTCCTGAAAGACTCAATGGAGTGATGACACCGAGCCAGCACGTGAGACTGCAGAGAAAACTCAGGTTTGACTGTTCCTACTTTGCAAACAAGGAAATGAACCTCAAGGAAGTTCAGTCTCGGCTGCAAAGTCCCAGAGCTGGTAAGTGGTGGAGTGGGACCGGGTGCTGCACCCAGGTGTGGGCCTCCTAAGACCCTGGCTCTCCACCACGCTGAGGGACAGTGCCGGTTGGGGTGGAGGGAGAGGCTTTGGACTGGACAGATTGTCGAAGCATGTCCCCTCGTCTGGGCTAATAGATGGAAGTGGACCCACCCCATGTGCCTCCCAGAGTCATCCTGAGATCCATGAAACGGGACAGCCACATCCTCCCACTAGCCCGAAGACCAACCCCTGCTCCAGAGGTGGAGTGGGCTGGATCCCGCAGGAGCCATGTTGAAGCTCTCTAGAATCATCCTCACAATAGCTGTCAGCCCCGCCCCCTGGCTCTGGGGCTGTCCTCCTCCTCTGGGCCCTCACAGCTGCTTAAGTTGCCCGGCTGCTTTTCACTAATTGAAACCTCAGAGGGCTGTTATGGTGCCTGTTGCTATAAACACGTTGCCAATTTGCATAAGTATGTGACATTATAAAAGTTCCTAAAAGATCTTATCCATGTGGCTGGCACACTGCCCGGATGAGACACGCCAGGTAGAAAGACAATGTGTGTGTTATTAAAAAATGTTTTTCAAAAAAAGAAAAAGCATTCTTGTTTTTGTTCCCCGGGCAGGTGAACAGGGCAAGAAATGGAAAATGCTTCCAGTTCAGAGGCAGAGTGGCTGTAGCTGGCTTTGTTTTGTTTTGAAACGGAGGAATCTTTTCTCGTACCTCCTGAGCTGCCTGTCACATTTCAAAAACTCAAGACGGGACTGTTGGGCTTTGGAAAAGGATTTGCGCTTTGGAATGCTGAGCTCTTCCCAGGGTGGGAGTGCAGCTCGATCGTTTGACAGACATGGAAATTGAAGACCTGGATTGGACTGTGTGTGTGTGGGGGGGGGGGTAGATCCCTGGACCCCAGACCCACACGCACCCTGGGGGCTCTCCCCTATTTTCCCAATCTCTCCGAATCACCGAACTGCTCACCCTTCTTGTCAAGAGAATGAAACTGGATTTGCTGGAGCAAAACAAAACTGACTCCTTCCCAAGCTTCGGAGCCTCAGCGGGAAAATCCTTCTGCTCTCTTCCTTTTTCTCAGCCTTTGGGACTCTGTTGTTCACAGAAAAGCAGCCTCTCCTCTTCCTAAAGCCACCATTCCTGAGCTGGGACAGATGTTGGGTGTTTCTTTTGGGGGGAAGTGGGGATGTTGGAGACACTTCTAGAAGCTGTCACCTTCCTGCAGTGCTCACGGGACCATGCAGTGCCAGAAATCGATCTGGGGTCAGCGACGTGCAAAGCAAGTGCATTAACCCCTGTATCAGCTTCGGGTCCCCTCTAATCTCAACCTCCTCCATGCAGGGGTGTGAATCTTCTCGCTTCTCAGATTTGGCGGTGAAGGTGGAGAGAAGAGAAGAGATCTCAGCCCCGCAGCTGGTATGTGAGACTGATTCAACCCAGCGTGTGGCTTTGGTTTCCTCGTCTGCAAAGACTTATGGGAAAGACTAAACAAGACCACCCCAAAGCAGGAGCACGCCTGCTCCCCAGCTCTGTCCCATCCCCTCCTGTCTTCCCTGACACCTCCTCCCATTTCATTTAAATCCGACAGAAACAGAATCTGCACAAAATACAGATTTATGAACTCCTGGGTTGCCTGAAATGCCCTTTCGATCAGCAGCCTTGATGACCTGCTTCAATCACCTTAATGCCCACTCCTATTCCCCTCAACACTAATTTCTAGACGAGCACTGACTTGCTACCACTTGAGGGATTAGAAGACAAAGGTGGTTGGCAGCCATGAGGCCAAGAAACTGTTAAGTGATCTAAACGCTTAAGATTTACAAGGAGGAATGTCCGTCTGATCCCATCTCTTAGCCAAAGACAGAAATCGGCATCTTCTTTCTCCTGCTTGGATAGCAGAACCCCGACCACGTTCCTGTTACTTACGCGTAACCCCCATCCACCACTCCCCTGAGCCCTATTCCCAGAGGCCCCTGGTGGCACAGGAAGTCTCAATAGAAGACAGTTGGCGGGAAGAGGGTGGAGAGGGGATGAGGCATTTGGGAAATCCACTCAGTTAGGGTGCCAGGGCGTTGGCCAGAGGAAGGGCCTTCCATGAAAGGATTGAGGAGTTGAGTTTGATTCCATCCACTGACTCTTTGGGGGGTTCCCAGGTCATACCCCAAGCTAGAGACTAGATTTGTTCTGCCACCCAAGGGCCTAGTGGTGCCATGAAGTGAAAAAAACAAAACAAAACAAAACAAAAAAACCCCAAGTTCTCTCTCTTAACATCCTCATGTGGTCCTGGAAGATAACTTCAGGCTGTTCACAAGGATCCAGAAGACCAGTATCTGAGGGGTATTGTAGCCCAAGAAGGGGATGATGGTACTTCTGGACGGATGGCAAATGGGTAGGGGATGGGGCCAGAGTTTCCTGAGCACATACTCTGGGCCAAGAATTTGACATAGATAATCTTATTTAATCCCACAAAAATCCTGGGAGGTAGCACTCATTATCCCCTTTGTACCAATGAGGAAACGGAGGATCAGCAAAATTAAGTAACTCGCCTGTGGTCACATGACCGCAGGGGTGGAGCCAGAATGTGAATGCTTGATCTTCCTTTCATTCCAGATTTGATGTTCTTTCCACTAGCACCCCATGAGCCCAGTTACAAACTGCTGACTCGGCCACTGGTCCCCGTCACCTCGTGAACTTGAGCAAGCCGCTTACCTTCCATTTCCTGATCCGCAAATTGAGGATAAATATAGTACCTCACAGGATTGTTGCAGGGATTAGATGAGTTATGCATACGAAGTGCTTAGAACCATCTTTAAGGTGTTGTAAGAGCGCTATAATACTCAGCCGTGGCATTTCTGTGTGCTAACATTCTTACTACCTGGGAAAAGGCACTTTCGCTGTGCCTCAGTTTGCTCATCTGTAAAACGAGTAGGTTGGACATGCTAATCCAGGATTACTCAACAAAGATCAGATGCTTAATCTTTCCAGCATCGAAATTCCATTGCCTTGCTTGGCTCCCTGGCTTTCCTCTTGGCCGCTTCAAGTTTTCCCACCCAATTGGCCTCCTTCTCAGCACCCTCCAAGAGCTTCCTTAGTCCTTCCCACTAGGCCCTACCCCGGTGTGGCTTGGCCATCACATCGGTAATTCCTTCCAGCCTTTACTCCTACTCGTTCCCCTTCTTGGATGATCCTGGCTTTCCTCTGCCAATTTGAATTCTTTACTTCATTTAAGGCCCAGATTAAAACTCAACTCTTCCATGAAACCATCTTGGGCAAGCCGCACCCTGAGATAACTTCTCCACTCACAGTTCCCTCAGCTCTTAGACTCAGAGCATGAGTCACCCTGGTTCCAAATGGTTTCTATTGTCTCGTTTAAGTCTGTTTGATTCACCCAATTCCCTAAAAGTCAAGTCCTCAAGAGCGGGGCCTTCTCTCTGTTGGCGTGGCCACCATGTTGGACGGGTACATGGTTGGATGAGTTAGGGGTGACTTTGTCCTCCTTCCTTCTCTCTCCCATCAAGGATTGACTACATGGTGGGAGCAGACTTTCTGCAGAACACTCAGGACTCTGAGAATGAGTGAGAAACTCTCCCGAGGAGAAGAGGGAGAGAAGCAGATGGGTGCAAATGCTCATTTTAGAGCAATCCAGTGGGTTGGGTAGATGTGCTGTGTTACAAAGGAACAGAGAGAAGCAAAGACAAGAGGTAGCAGAGGAGAGAGCATTTTTGGGGGTGGAGAGAATAAGACCCAGCACCTTCCAGTTTGTTGAAATGGGTTAAAGGGCATTTGTTGGTAAAGAGAAGCAGACAGGGATCATGGTAGAAACTAAAGTTGGAAACGTCGTTTTCACTTATGCAAAAGCTTTAGGTCTTTATCCCTCATGACCCAAATGTTTAGGTTCATGTGAAAATGAGAAAATGATGAGTTATGTCAGGAGTTTTGTTTATCTGATATGAAGATGCTTTTATAAAAATTAGAGTGGGACCATAGAGATAAACAGGGGATAAGGTTCAATCCCTGGAAACACATAGGGACCCCCACGCAGCTCCAGGAGTGGTCTTTGATCACAGAGACAGGACAGTATCACTGGATGTGGCCCCCAAACCAAAACCAAACAAAAATTTGGGTGATAAGAATTGTTTGTCATTTACTTTGTATCTTTATTTGACCAAATAAAGATCTACCCATTGTAGCTCAGAAAGTTCTATTAGTGGTGGGAAATGTACATTGATGAAGGGTGATGATGAAGGGTGATGAAGGGTGATGATGTATTGGAACATTTCAGCTTGACTGAAACTCTATCATGGACAACTTTGTAACTGTTTA